CCTGGGGCCGGGCACGGGGGCCCTCAGCTCGGCCACCACCCTGGCAAGCCCTGGGGAGGTGTTTCCTCTGCCCACAGCTTCATCTCTGTGCTGTTTCCCTGAACTCAGTCTTATTTCTGAAAAATTCAATGCTTTCTCCAATCTGCACTGCTGTCTAAACACAAGACCAGATTAACAGGGTCGTTTCAGAATGAAGCCTCCTGAAAATTCCCCTAGGTTCATGTAAGACAACTGATGTTCAATATTCCGACTTGTAAGGCAGACATCTATTTCTAACACGTTTCTCTGCGTACAGAAAACAGGCGACTTTGGTTGTTTATGACCACGTCTGCTTTTTGGCCCTTGTCCATGGAAAATCTCTGCTCGTTTCTTACTTCTGCATCTTTTCCCTTCTGGCGTCTCCTTGTCCCATCACATTCCCTCTGTTCCTAGTTTTTATATGTTCTTCATTAAACTGCCATCCACGTGACTGCCTTTGCCTATTGCTTGTCTTGGCCTATTCAGGAGAAAAAGGCCGATGAAAACGAGCCGAGCTTGGATGATGGTCCCGTATATGCGGGGGGAGGGATGTTGCCATCCGCTTCCTGATGAAAACAGGCTTCTTTGTTCCAGAAAATGAAAGAGACCCTGGAGCAGAGCGGGCTCCCGCCTGCCCTCGGTGCCCTGCCATGCCCTGTGGCCACCGGCGCTCCCTGGGACCGGGGGTATGTGTTTCACAGGGAGGGTGGGATGGGCTCCCCACCAGCCAGAGTAAATCCAGGACCCAGGGGCACCGGATGGCTGCGGGGCTGCTGGAAGGGGAGCCACAGGCTGGGAACGGGCGGAAAGGCCGGGTCCTTCTCCTCGCCCTTACTCAGTAATGCCTGGTGCTGAGCCGCCATGTAGGGCTGCTGGCCTCACAGCCTCTGGGTTGGATCATTCCCGCACCAGAGGCTCCGTCTATGTGGCAAACCCTGCCCGGAGCCGGTTCCTCTGGCTCTGTCTGCCCGGGGGCTCTCTCTGTCACCCAGCGGGACGGTGGCCCTGCCGCCGACAGCTCGGAGCAGGACAGCGGGGCT